GCAGCAGGAGGAGGCCGCGTGCGGCGATGGGCGGCCGATGAGGTACACGACTAGGTCCAGCCCTGGGTGGCGCAGATCTGACGTTTTGTGACAATCGTCAGATCCGTGTTTTTTTGGTCTTGCGGTACATCTCTCCGCTCGCCACCTCACGCTCCGCCGTCCGGCCATGGATGGTTCGATGGAGCTCGCCGAGCTCCATCGAACCATCCAACTCCGGTCACCGGGTCTGAACGCGCTCAGCCTCAGGAGGTACCAAACCACGCAAATTCTGCACGCCTCGCTGCGCCGCTGGCTTGACTGAATCAGGCAGCAGCAGGCTGCTGCTGCTGCCACAGCAGCAGTCTGCTGCGGCCCTAATACGCAAGTTGATGACTAGCAGCACTGCCGGGGGCATTCGAGCCGCTACAGCCGGTGTGCGGCTGTGCACTGCCACCTGCCCGCGGCTACGCACAATGTGCGCTCTCGCATTGGATGAGCCCTGCTGATGGACCTGCATCGCCTAGCTGCACGAGAGCAATGCCGCAGGCAGTGGCCGTGGCATACACTGCGAGCACACTTGGTGCAGCTGCGAGGTGCAGCAAGAGCACGTCGTTCCTGCCTCTGATGCCACTCTCGCGGCTTGCAGCGCGTCACTCGCGCATGCTCTCCAGGAGCTATGGCGGGCGCGTGTGTGGGGCTGTAGCCTGTGTTTGGCCGGTTCTGACCCGTTTACTATCAGTATCATGTCCGGGCCACAAGAATCGCACACGGGTAGCGGCTCAGGGGCCCAGTAAGTCGCGGAATCGCCAAATGTCACAACCTGCGCCACCCAGGGCTGGACCTAGTCACACGGGTTCTCCGCAAAATTCCCGGCATTTTGACGATTTGGAAGAAAATTTGGCTGATTTTGGGCCCAAACCAGCCTCAGACTCGGCTCAGAGCCCAAAATTTGACGATTTCCACGAAGTTTTCCCGGGAAAATAGAGAGGAGAAGAGAGGGTGCTACAGCCCAAGGCACGCACCAGGTGTAAGAGTCGATTTGGGATGAATTCTTTTGCTAAGGGGCCGTTGTCTGCTGTGCCTTTTGTGGTGCTAGTCCGTGCCAGTCTGCTCATAAATAAATAAATAAAACGGACATCCCGAGCTGCTGCCATAAACAAATAAAACGGGCACGCCAAACGAGGGGTGGGAGAAGGACAGGGTCCCCACCTGCACGAGCAGGATCTTGTAAGGACGATCAGGGACACAGGGGAAGGGGAGCGGGGAGCGCATCGCGACACGGAGCTGCTGCCAGTCTGCTGTAACGCCCGTAGAATTCTTTTGCCTCTCTTGGCCGAGGCCAGCGCGGCATGTATGTGTGGTTTCTCGCACTTTCAGCGCTCACGCTCGTGAGGCCGCCGCTCCACGCTCAGCCTGTCGTAGTGAAGCTCGACGCAGCGCGAGTCCTTTCAACCCCTGCCATGGCAGGCCAGTGGCGCGGCCGCCAGCCTCGGAAGCAGTCGCTGCCCAAGCTGGCGCAAAATCGCCGAGGTCCGCCATACGGAGGCACGCGGTACTCAAATAAGCTCGCTCTCGCAAAGGGGGGCAACGGCGGCCTGCGTCGGCTGCGTTCTGGGGCGGCCACGAGAGCAGAGTTCGAAGGCCGCAAGCCTGCGTCGTCGCAGGCATCAAAGGGAAGCCTCCCGGAGCCACTTGCGAAGCTCGTAACCTTGCTCTACTACGGTGCATACGTCGGCGTCTTCGGAAAGATGGTGCTTGCCGTCCTGGAGAGGGGGCTGCCGGGCGCTGCAACTGCGGGCTAGCCGCCATCTTCACACCCACTTATAACGGCACACTGCCGCATCGCGCCAAGTCTCACCATCCACATCTGTGCTTCTTAGACTAGTAGTCAGTCTGTGGGAGACTCTCTGAAAAGTCTGAAAACGTGTATGTGCACGCTAGTCTTACGGATCTGTGAGCCAGGAAAAGGGTTGCTTTTCGTCTCCTTCAGGAGATGCAGCGCGGCGAGGGTTCTGATGCCTATGGGCTTCAGATCTCTCAGTTAGGCGAGTGGGTCTGCGATGCTTGCCTGGAGGGCTATTTGGGGGGGGGCTTTGGCGACTACTCGGAGCTGCGCAGCGGCTACCGGTTGCGCCGTATTCGAGTTACCCCTGGATAGGTCGCTCGCGCGACCTCTCCTGGATGCGCAAGGGGCCCATAGGGGTCACGCGGAGGGAGGCGCTGTTGGCGGCGGAGGAGGTGGAGGAGGTGAGTGAGTGAGTGACACACACACTCACACACACACACGTGGAGGAGGCCGCACGGGCGGCGGAGAAGGCGCGGGCGGCGGAGGGGGGGAAGGGCGGCGGCAGCGGGCGGCAGTCCCGCGAGGCACGCCGGCGGAAGGGTTCGTCTTCGCGGGGCGGGGTGCGCACTGCGCGCCGCGAGGATGAGGAGCCTGAGCCAGGGGAGGGTTGGGAAGGGGGGGCGAGGCCGGAGGAGTATGACGGCCTCTTCGACGGCCCATAAGGGGCCGTTGTCTGCTGTGCCTTTTGTGGTGCTAGTTCGTGCCAGTCTGCAGTGAGAGGGGCTGGCGGGCTAGAATTCTCCATCGGCTTGGCCGCGCTCTGGGGTCCAGGGGTGGTCGCTAGCGCTCTCGCCGCTGCTCGCCGCTGGTGCTCCCGCCGCCACCCGAGGATTCGGTTGAGAGATGGCGGCGCCGCAGCACCTCGTCGGCTTGGAGCACCAGCTGCAAGTCTCGCGCGAGAGCGCGCTTCTGGGCAACTACGAGGCGTCGCTCGTACACTTTGACGGCGCCATCTCGCAGGTGCAGCGCTACCTGCGGACTCTCGACGACCCGGCGCTGCGTGCAAAGTGGCTGCGGGCGAAGGAGGACCTCTCGGGCGAGTTCCAGATTGTCAAGGAGATCGTGGCCGAGCTCTCAAAGCTCCGCGCCGGCAGCAAGGCGGTCCCGCCTCCGACGGCCGCGGCGCCGCCGCCGTCGCAGCTGTTGCTCCGGCCGGACCCCGTCGCGGTCGTCGGCGGCCCGAGCGGCGCGGCGCAGCAGCGTGACCCGGACGTGTGGTCGCCGCCAAAGCCTCCTCCGGAGCGGTGCCCTCCTCCGCCGCGCCGCGCCGCGCCGCCCGACTGGGCGAGGCGCGATCCGCAGCAGGCGGCGGCGGCGGCGGCGGCGGCGGCGGCGGCGCCACAGCACGGGCCCGGCGCAGCGCGTGGCGCTCGGGCGGCGGCGGCGGGCTACGGCGCGGCGGCCGCCGCCGATGCTCCGCCAGCGGGAGGCCGGCGGCGCGGCGAGCGCAAGCCTCCCGTGCCTCCGCGTCCAAAGGCGGAGAGAGGCGGGGGGAGAGGGGCGCGGCGGTTTGTGGATGAGGTTTGTGCGGCGGACGCGGAGCTGGCGAGCATGATCGAGCGCGACATCCTCGAGCGGAGGCCGTCCGTGCACTGGGGCGACATCGCGGCCTCGAGGAGGCGAGGCGCTGACGAGCCGTGTGCGTGACTGCTGGTGAGTTGGTTAGGCGACATCGCCGGCCTCGAGGAGGCGAAGAGCGTGCAAGTCACTAGGCTTGAGTGGTGAGGCCGCTCTCGGTGGACCGGCCGACGAGTTGGCTAGGCGAAGCGCGTGCTCGAGGAGGCGGTGGTGCTGCCTCAGCTGATGCCGGACTACTTCCAGGGCATACGGAGGCCGTGGAAGGGCCTTCTCCATCGCCCGCCCTCCCCGACGCCTCGGCCGTGAACGGCGTCTCCTCACGGCTGTGGGTGTGAACAGGCGTGCTCATGTTTGGCCCTCCCGGCACCGGCAAGACGCTGCTCGCAAAGGCGCTCGCGGCCAATTGCACCAATAAGGAGTTAGTTGATAGCCAAGTGAGGGACCGGCAAGACGCTGCTCGCTAAGGCGCTGGCGAAGCCGAGCGCGGCACCGCTGCCCTCCCCCCCCCCGTCGGCCAATGAGCTGGCGAGCTCCTCCAGGCGCTGGCGACCGAGTGCGGCACCACCTTCTTCTCGGTCACCTCCTCCACACTCGGCTCCAAGTACCGCGGCGACGCGGAGCGGATGGTGCGGCTCCTCTTCGAGATGGCGAGATGGAGCCGAGATGGAGCCGAGATCGAGCCGAGGTAACGAAGAGGTGGAGGAGGGACCGGAGCCTTTCTACTCGCTTCCTCGCCTGTCTTCCCCTCGCCTCACGGCGGCTTGCCCCTCCGCCCAGGCGCGCTTCTACGCACCGTCCACCATCTTCATCGACGAGGTCGACTCGCTCGCCTCGCAGCGGGGCTCAACGGGCGAGCACGGCGGCGCGCCGCCAGGGCGCGTCCGGGGCACGTCCACGACGTGTCCGAGACATGTCCGCCAGGCGAGCACGAGGCGTCGCGCCGCGTCAAGTCGGAGCTGCTCGTGCAGGCGCTGGGCTCGGCAGACCTCGGCACATCTCGGCACACCTCGGCACACCTCGGCACATCTCGGCACACCTCGGCACATCTCGGCAGATCACGCGGATGATTCAGATCACCGGAGTCTGATGCTGGCCCTCTGCGCGTCCAGATGGACGGCGTGGGCGGCGGCGGCGCCGAGGACGGCGAGTGCAAGAATGTGATGGTGCTCGCCGGCTGCACCCTTCTCGGAACTTGCTCGGAAGCTTCTCGGAACTTGCGTGGAACCTCTCAGGTGCTCGCCGCCTCCAACTTCCCGTGGGACCTCGACGAGGCGCGTATCTCGGCTGTATCTCGGCTGTACCTCGGCTGTACCTCGCCTGTATCTCGGCTGTACCTCGGCTGTACCTCGGTTGTATCTCGGCTGTATCTCGGCTCTATCTCGGCGCGGGACCTCGACGAGGCGTTGCGGCGGCGGCTCGAGAAGCGCATCTACATCCCGCTCCCCGAGCCAGCCGACATCCGCACGCTCCTCGGCGCGTCGCTGTGAGGGCAACGCAGTCAGGCAGGTGCTGGCTCGACGCGGCACCGCCGCTCCGCGTCTTGACTGGGTAGGCATCAACCTCAAGGACGTGCAGCTCGACGCCTCAGTTTGCCTCGACGCGCTGGCCGAGCGACTCGCCGGCTTCTCGCCCGCCGACGTGAGCCGGCTGCATCTCGGCTGCATCTCGGCTACATCTCGGCTACATCTCGGCTCCATCTCGCCCCGCCGACGGCCTCTGCCGCGAGCGCGCGTTGGCGCGAGTGCCTCGCCCGTGCCCCACCCCCTGCTCGCTCGACAGGTGACGAACCTCTGCCGCGAGGCGGCGATGATGCCGATGCGGCGCGCCATCAAGGGGCTGCGGCACGACGAGATCCGCAGGCTCAAGCGCGAGGACACAGACACGCCGCTCTGCCAGGACGACATCGAGCAGTCGCTGCTGCGCATCAACAAGACGGTGAGCGAGAGCGACCTCGGCCGCTTCGAGGAGTGGCTCAAGGAGTTTGGCTCGACCTAAGTGTGGGGGCTGATCAGCTTTTATTATATTGTTGTGTTCTCAAATAGGAGTTAAAAATAATGTAATTAAATTATTTCAAATACCCTCTCACAGCACAAACTGGCACGACAAGGGCGCATCAGTGCGGCTCTCAGAGCCCCCCGCCCCACCCCGCACATACGGCTTTATATTAATTGCTTGGAAGTACACCCCCCCGCACTACCCCGCCCCCTGCCCGGGCTGCCCCTCTCTCTGTGGAGAGTGGAAAGAAAAAAACTCGACCCACGTAGACACGAGTGTGCGCCCGTCCACTCGGCGGGGTCGCAGCTGCCTCTGCGCGTCCTGTGGACGTACCTTTGTCGCGCGCCGGAGATGACTCGACGCCGCTGAGATCGGAGATCAAGCTCTGACAGGTCGCACGTCGCTCCTTTGACGCCGACGTGATTTACCCGTGCAGATCACATCAGGACACGGTCTCGACGCGCTCGGTACGACGCCTGCGACCCGTCTCGGGTCAGGTGGCACGACGCTCATCGCGCCTGCCAGCGCTGCCGTGCAGGTTGCCACGACGAGGTCGAGCACGCTCCTATACGCTCGAGCTTTGTTGCAAAATTCTAACGCTCGCCCAGCCTTCCTTTCCATCCCATTAAGCAGCCTGGGAACGGTGGCGGTCAGAGGCAAAGCCTGCGAGGGGTGGTGGAACCACATGTCACGGCCACCGCCGGCTCGACGCGACGATAGCCTCCGGAGGCTGACTTTGAGGCACCATCATCGGACGATGTCGACGAGTTGGGTCGCTCTCGCGGTAGCCAGGTAGCCCCCCATACTAGTAGCACCAGCCATGGCCTCAGGGAGCGCGGGCGAGGGCGCTGGGAGCAACACGGAGCTCCGTTGGAGACGTTTTCAAGATTAGCGTGTCAGAGTGAAATGGCACTAGCCAAACTGGCACGACAAGGGCGCATCAGTGCGGCTCTCAGAGCCCCCCGCCCCACCCCGCACTACCCCGCCCCCTGCCCGGGCGCTGCCCCTCTCTCTGTGGGAGAGAGGTTTTTCTCCAAGTCTCGTTGATGCGAGGCGGACAAATTCCTCCCTGCCTTCGGGCCCCGTCGCCTTCGGGCACCACGCACTCTCACACGCCAATACACGCGCGGCCGGCGCCCCTCATGCCCTTCTCCACGCACACCGCGTGAAAACTGCGCGTACGTCCCCGCGCGCACGCAAACACACGCCTAGCGCCCAGAAGCCTGTGTCATGTGCGTCTGCCCTGTGCTGGCACCCCATGGCTGCGCCAGCCGCCCGCACTCTCGCACCATCAGAGCTAGCCGCACGACCACTCACGCCGCGACGCGCGCGCCGCAGTGAACCCCACTGACAGTCCACGCCCTTTGCCAGGCGCCTGCACACTGTTTCAGGCACCATGCTCTACCAGAGCGCGCCGCGCCCGGCACGACGCAGCTCCAGCGCGCGAGGCGCGCGCGGCGGCACGCCGCGCGCGGCGGCCGCCGCGCACGCGCCCCGCCATCCGATCAGATCTGCACAGCCTGCCAGCAAGCAATGCAGCAGACCTGCTGGACACTCAACACACACGCACGCTCACGCCGCCCGCCCACTGCGCGGCTGACTGCACCCCTCGACAGCTCCGTTCCACCAGGCGAGGCGCGCTGGCTCGCCGCGCGCGCTCCCGGGCGGCTCGGCCAAGATTGCCTCACCTCCCCATGCCTGTGGCTGTGTAGAGTGCTCCCACTCCAAGACATTCTACGTCGAGGTCTGCGCCGTCCCCGGCGCGAGCAAGCAGGAGCTCTCCCCCCCTCCTCTAACCCACCTGGGGTACTCACAAACAGCCTAACCCCTCCCCTACCAACATAGTACCGAACCCTTGCCTCACCTCTCACCCTCCACTTCTCACCTCACCCCTCACCGCTTCTTCCCTTCCCCCCTCCTCACCGAGACCGAAACGCGAGAAACTTTGACCACGGATCTGTCATGCCTGTACCAACGCGCGCGTCTCAACTTCGACGCCGGACATAGGGCGCGGCAGCCAGGACTCTGCAGGATGGTCCGAAGTTACAGG